CCTATCCTCTGCATCTGTGCACCACTTTGCCTAATGGCCAAAACTTTTGCACTTAGTGCAATTCGGACCTAGAGACCTGGGGTTTCCTCCCCAATTGTTGGTACAGTCTCTTGCCCTGTGTCCTCTGTAATTGTAGATCCAGCATACCAGCCCATACTGGCCTGGAGTGGACTTATAAAATCCATACCGTATATCCCATTCCTTCTGGTTGGGGTCAGCCTCGGCCTCCATATCCTCCTCTTTCACGTCCTTACAGGGTTTTATGTTCGCTATCCAATTCCTGGAGCTCTTCTCTGTACTTTTCCAACCCCTTGGTCTTTGGGTTCCCTGGCCTCTGCCATTTTTTATCCTCTTCCAGATCCTCTCACTATTTTTAACTAACCCCACTAATCCTGTCATCCTATCTCCAAGGTCTTCTAGAGTTTCCCCTACTTCCTGTTTAATCCTAAACAATTTTCAAACTGCCTCTGTGGTTGTTCGCTTGCTAGCATATCATTCCCTTCAGCTTGTCCCATGTTATCTAGGGGTTTCCCCTGTATAAGCCCCCAATAAATTTTGAGACTGGTCTTGCTGCTGCCTCATATGCCAACAGCACCATCTCCCGGTCTGTCAGTCCGTATACCAGCTGTTTCTTTTGTACAGCTACCAACCAATCATGAAACTCAGCCGGGTTGCCTCAGTAGAAGAGTAACTTCATCCCACCCAACAGACTCCTAAAGGCCGCCATTATTTCGGTGACTGTAGCTTCACCCTCCATACTATCTGACCCAGCAATACTCATCTATTCTGGCAGAGTTCCTCAATTAATAGGTAAATTTGAAGGACGAGAGTGGCACGAAATCCTTACTGGCTGTTTTCATGTACCACAATTGAGTGGAAAAAAAACAATAATTGAAGGAAACCAAAAAGTAACCTACCTGAAGTGCGTGCTTCTGCTGCTGTTTTGTTGTTCCTGTAACTATCAGCTCTTTGGATCAATATAATCTTTCAATTCCAATGTCTTCTAGGTAATTCTTGGGTATAATCTTTGGTCGCAGCGTCAGTTGTAACTGATGCTGCGACCTCTACTTTACTGTCCTCTGGGTATCTCTTGGGTCAAATCCTGGTTGCAGCAACCAATTGCAACACCATATCCTCACCCCACTGGACCCACGCACTCCACAAGACTGGCCATTGTTTCTGTATGGTCCAGTATTACAGGATAGACACAAATCTCCGGTTCCCAATGTCAATTCAAAGCCACCCTCCAGCCACATTGTGATTTTTTTTTATCCTGGTGGTCATCAGATCATAGAAATCCGGAAGCTCCCTGTTGATCCACCTGCGAGTTTGTCAGGGGAGAATTGGGTTAACAGAAAAATAAATAACCAAGTTGATTCGATTTTGAAAGGACAAAACTTTTTATATATATTTAAGCATTTAAAAAAGAAAAGGAAAAAAGGGGAAAAAAGGAAAGAAAGGAAGGAGGAGGCCACTATTGAAAACACAGATATTAAGTTAACCCAACCACCAATTTAGTGGAGTGGAGAGGTGGATATTGTCTGGCTTAAATGGAAATGGTTAATACAACCTTGACCTAGATTTTAAATTTTAACAGCCCAAGTTAAGGTGAAATTAAATCATAAAGTTAAAGACACTGAGTTCAAATAATTTAAAAAAAGGAAATAAATTATTAGTTACAAAACAAAAACAAAAAATATATTTTCTCCATTTTGAAAAAAATTACCAAAAATATGCTAAATAATACAAGATCAATAAATCTTAATCAGATAGTTTGAATGAAGAAAAAAATAATAACATAAAAATATTAAAATTTATGAAGATTTTTTTAAAAATTAAAAAAATATATGTCTGTGAAAAAGTAAAATCTAATAATAATAATAAAATAATAATAATTGAAAAATCAAAAATAATTAAATAAAAAAATAAGAAAAATAAATAAGTAAGTAAAAGGATGATAAAGGAATTGAAGAAAAAATTTGTGATGAAAAATAATGATGGTAAAAATAATGATAAAAAATCAGAAAATGCAAAAATAATTTTTAACGTATACAACTTTAAAGAAAAATAAATTACCGACCATACAGAGGAAAAAACAAAAAACCTTTAAAAAGTTTTTAAAAGTTAAAAAATAAAAGTTTAAAATATTTAAAGAAATTTAAATTAAAAAAATGATAAACTATTAATTAAAACCTGTACCAATCTTTGGAAGGATTCATAAAATACCATCAAATGGTTCGCCAATATAAGTGATAAAAATAGAGCAACTTTTAATACTTTTATTCTTCTATCTCTCTTAGTGGATTGTATCAACTTTGAGAAAAACCATATGGAGATAACAGATGATGAAATCAATATCGCTTTAACTGCTAGGAAATCACTGTTAGCACTTAATAATTCTACCTGGATTAAGTACAATAATGAAAATTTTGATGCCTCTGTGGGAGCATATGATTCAGCCCAGGTTTCTGATCTAGTTTGCTTCTATATTCTAGATAAACTTAGTAGAATTGTAAATCCTAAACTAGTAGGCCTTTATAAGAGATGATGAACTCATTTTTATTCCCAATACTGTGAAGTTACAGAAAAAAATTGTTAGTCATTGGAGTTTAAGATTGAGATTGCTTCTAAACTCAAAATTGTAGATCACCTGGATATCATGCTTAACCTTAATAGTAATACCTTTAAACCTTTTCACAAAGAACATGAAACCCCCAACTACCTTAACATTGATTCTAACCACCCCTATGCTATTACTGTCAGCTCCAGAATTAGTGAACTTTCATCTAACAGAAATATCTTTAATAAAAATAAAGAATTGTATGAAAATGCTCTCCACAAAAGTGGCTTTAAAAATAAACTACCCTACTTAAACCCCATAAGTAACACTGAAGTATATAATATGGGTTGTAAGCACAAAAATAGAAAAAGAAAAATTATATGATTCAACCCCCTGTTTCTGTAAATTGTCCAATACTAATATCGGACAATTTTTTCTGAAGTTAATAAATAAACTTTTAAAAAAAACAACCCTCTAAGTAAGATCTTCAATAGGAAAACCATCAAAATAAGCTATTACTGCACAAATAACATGTACAAAATTATCAACTCCCAACTATCAGTTATTAACTACATTCTAAGTAAATTCAATAACAGGCCCATTGGTAGTTCTATGTATTATCTCCAGTGCAGAAGAATTTTTTCTTTCTCTAATATAAGCATTCCATCCTTTGATTTTATGCAGCCTGTTGACAAGCACATCTTCTGCCCTGTTAGTTACCTTATAAACAAATAAGGGAACAAACAGGGTATATCTTCTTTGTTGGTGATACTCAATCCCTTCTATTTCTGTATATTTTTTGTTTAGCCACTTTCTTTAGCCTGCCTGCATTTCATTGTGTAATTTTCTGTATTCCATACCATATATTGACAGAATTTTCTGTCTCCTTTACAGCATGTTAAGAATCTTATCAGTCATCCATTTGTTTTTTCTTCTTTGTCCATTCTCTTTTGGGATGATATTGTTTGCTGATGTCACTAAAGCTTCTCTTAGTGTGTCCCATTTCAAGTTTCCATTTCCATTGTGCCCCTTATATCTTCTTTTCACATTATCCATATATTTTTCTTTCAGATACAGGTTGATCAGGAGTTTGTCATATTGCAATTTGGGTGCTGTGTTAGGCTTCTTCAGTTTCCATTGTTTCACTCTTAGTTTACATATAACAGGGCGATAATTGCTTCTGCAGTCGGCACTTGGACAGGTTTTGCAGTGAACCATTGCATTCCTGAATCTTTGTTGATAGTTATGTAGTCAATTTGGTTTTTAGTTTCTCTTCCTGGGCTCCTTCATGTCCATAATTGCTTTGGATGTTCTTGGAATCATGTATTGGCTATTACCTGGTCATTGGCCGTGCACCATTGGATCCATTTTTCTCTGTTTGTTGCAGGTTCCTAGTCCGAATTTTCTGGCTATATCCTCTACCCTCTCCCGGCCTATTTTGACATTCAGGTTTCCCATAGAAACTCTAAAAATATCATTTAAAATTAAACAAAAATTTTCAATGTTAGAACTGCTTTTTTTAAATGTATTCAACAACTGAAGATACATTTAGCCAATGAAGAATCTTGTTTACCAATTTTTTCCGGTGATGAGATTATAACACCCAATGCAAAATTTTAAAAGTATTTAAATATGAGAAATATAATGTCAGATCTTGAAAATTACCAAATATAATTGAAAGTGCTTAATCACAAAACATTGACTGATATTTATACTCATTGAACCCAAATATATACTCTCTTGTATGTAAACAAGAAATGTTTTTAAAAATTAAGAAAATTCCTGGTATTTTTTTTTAATAATTATGTTTCAGTGAAAAGCTGCTGGCCAAATGCACATTTTACTTATATGTGGAGAGAGATAATATAAATATGAAGGTGCAAAATGATGTAATAATTAGCAATATGGGAAACAGAATTAAAAAAAATCCAGTTTAATATTCTTGGAAAATGTTTACATTCATTTCTTCCTGTGCTCTGAACAAAACATTGGCATTCTACAATGATTGTCAGAGAAAAGAGTAGGTAAGTGATCCTTAGAGTAAACCACTTTTCCATAACTAGATATGCACACAAACAAAAGAGAGACACCAAGAATTAAAAAAAAATTTTGTTTTTAAATATGTGTCTGTAATCTACCCAATTTCATTTAGATTCTTTTTATTTTTCTATCACTTTTGTTATTAAATATTCCACATTATGAGAAGATCAGACAAGAATAGTGAGATATTATAAGAACCTGGATGCAAATTTATTGTGAATGATCTAAGCGATTAAAGCACTTTCTAAATATTTTTGTCTTAGTAAATAGTTTTCTCTTTTAATTAGAGTAGCATTTTTAAATATTTATATAAATCTATATTTATATAGATTTATATCAAAATGTCTGTGTTTTTAAAGTACTGTTTTTTTATTCACATTATTTTTTTTTATCTGGGTAGTTGATACTCATCTGATGCAATTATTATACTGGGATGCCAACATCACTAAAAAGATGGAACTTTACTGGAATGATGTTGACAAGATTAATTCATTCAAGTTTGTATCATTTACTTTTCTTTTCTTAATTACTATCTGAACAGTACATCATATACACTATGGCAGGTTTTATTATATAGGTCTATAATAAAATTGATATTAACCAACTGATAAAAAAACAAACTTTTAAGGAAAAACTTAAAATTAAATATAAATATAATTAAATATTATATGTAAATTTCCACATAACATCTGTTTTTAAATTAAACTATTACTATAACTTTATGCGAAATTTTGAAACTTGAGTGTGTTCATCATATTGTAAATAAATATAAGAAAATAGTTATTGATATTTATTTAATTCCAAATACATAAAGATCGCCACGGTTTATAATAAAGATATAGTCCAAGAAGAGAAACAAGATATTGTAAAGTTATTAAGTGATGTAAACAAAATACTGGAAAGTACAAAAAAAAGTGAACAGAGATCATAGAATAATCAACAAAGAAATTGTAAAACATTGACAGCATAGGAAAAAGAAAAAAATCACTATAAAAAGAGATTTGGGAAAAACTAAAAAGGTAAAAAACAAGAAAATTGGTTTGACAAGCAAAAAAATATTTGAAGATGGTGTTGCAAATATAAATAGAAAAGATGCAGAATATTATAAACATTGGCAAGAAATGAAAGCAATTAACATCTTAAAGTAAATATCAGGAAGAGAAGTGTGTAAGTGAAACAAAGAAGTACATGAAAAATGATTTTTCAATTGTAATTTTTATTATTAATGAATGTAGAGCTACATTGAATGAACTAGGCTAGAGGTTGGGTATTTCCATGGAAAATAGTCAACCAACTTAGAAAAATCCTGGAAATGTGGGTTAGTATTGTAGGTAATATTGTAGGTACTTCAAAAGTTAAAGATTGTGCCAAAATAAATGCAGAGAATTATTGTAAGTTTTTGGACAGACTTTTTTTTAATATTACAGGTCACAACCCAATATTCTCTAAGCTAAACTGTACATTTATGCAAGACAATGCTTCTTCAAATTCTAAGAAGCTGACTATTGCTCACCTTGTCTCAAAAGGTTTTAAAGATATCAAATTGATTGAATGGTCTCTCTCTCTACATATTAATTTAGTAGAAAACTTATGGTCTACCATTAAAAGAAATGTGTATGAGAATGGAAAACAATATTCAAGCAAAGAAAATCTCTGAGAAACTGCAAAAACTGCAAGTTAAGTTGAAACACTAGAAAATTTAACAAAATCAATGAATGAAAGACTGATTATAGAATGTCAAGGAGTCCATTAAATAAATAAAATAATATAAAATTATTTATTCAGGTACAAGTAGGTTACACATATGTCCTAGCTCTGTACCAGTAATAAAAGCTATCAGTACTTTTCTTGTTCAGCTCTGAAGCTTAAGGGGTTTTAGGTCATAATAAGACTTAACTATTCAAGAAAAGTGAACCAATAAGAAAATTGAAAATGTCCTGGTTTGAGGTTTGGAAATTATGGTAATACTAGGTATATGAGATATTCTATTAATCAAAAATATCCTTTGGATTTCATTTGAAATAAAAATGTGTTAAATTTAGTTAGTTTGCATATTAGACCTGACACCCTCAAAAAAGTTATGGATATTTTTTAATAAGGATAGATAATCAAAGTTGAAATTTGACCAAAATATTTGCTCATAAAAAATAAGTGTATCCTGAAAATTTGGTTAATATCAATTTTATTGCGAAAACATTGATTTGCATAATAAAATCTGACAGTGTCCCTTTTCTTGTTTTGTGTCTTAACTAATTTGTTTCTGGTTAGTTTTTACCTTTACATTCTTTGTTGAATAACTTTCTTAAGTATATTTTAATTGTTAGCATTTAAATGCCTATGTTTGTATACATTAATTTAAAAAATTGGATATACATAGTTTCATTTAAAATTATATTTTAACTAGTATTTACCTTCATTTTATTGGTATTGAATGTAACCTTTTTTATTATATAAACTTTTTAAAACATAGACTCAGGGTTAGTTTGTCACTCTAATTTTATATAATGTTGAATGTATTTATTTTTATTTGTTACATCTTAACATTTTAATGTTTAGGTGGAGGTGAACTATTCTGAAGAAGTACCAAACTGTTTTATATAAAGACTCAGCTGATATTTATTTCTCCAGAAACATTTTAAAAAGTGGATCATAAATATGAAGATGAACAAATGTGTGGAGAGGACTTTCTAAAAAATTGAAAGAACATGAACATGGTAAAAGCCATCAACACTGTCTCAGTGGATAGAGCTTTATTTCTAGCTGAATTGTTCACATAGTATGATCCATTATTATATATAATTAGGTTACAATAAAATTTGCATTTTATATGAATACTACTTTATGAAAATTGAGTTGTAGTAGAGTAGGGGATCCATATCATAGATTCAGCTTGGGGTGGGTGGGGGGCGAAGCACCAGCCCTGCACAGACTAATAATGTGAATTAAGTTTTATCTGCCAAGAAAACAGTTACAAATACAATTTCCATTCTGTCTCAAAGTGGATTTGTGTATTCAACTTAATAAAATAAGACTATATATATATATATATATATATATATATATATATATATATATATAACATAATAATTTATTACAGCTTCAGGGGAAGATGTCATAGCAACATTTGTTGGTACAAATGGGGGCCTGACTATGGTATATCCAGCAAGGTGAGTTTACTTGTACTATTAGAAAATAAAATATTTATTCTAATTTTTTCATATAGAATTTATTATGCTTTTATGCCAAAATTACTATTATTTACAATTATTATTTGTATTATATTTAGTGAAAAAGATCGATACATGAAATGGCGTGATGTTTGGAGAGCTGATTATTATCAACGAGCTTTGCGTGTTGATGATTTTGTCTATATTGCACCTTATAGAAAAGGTATGTATTTTTCATTTAAATAAATAATAGTAATAAAATTGATTGTAAATTAATGCCTTTTAAAAAAAATATAACTACAACAAAAAACTCAATAAATTATTAGGCTTACCATACCTTACTAGAAATATAATCTACCAGAATTTTTTTATATATATATCTATAAATATCAGGTCATCCCATAAGTTCTGTCCGAATTTTAACTTTTTGTTTGAATGAAATGTCTAAATGGAGCTGAACATTATTTTTTATGTTTAGATGCATTTAAACTGATCAAATTTTATTTCAGAGAACAATAAAATTAAATTTTGTTAGATTAAAACCCTGCTAACATGGAAGTACCCAAGAATCATTTGAGGCACATAATGCTTTATGAGTTTCAAGAAAGGAAACTCAGCAGCCAAAGCGGCTAGAAACATTCACTCAGTTTATGGAGAGGAATGTGTGAATGAAAGAACTTGCAGAAGATGGTTTGCAAAATTCAGAGGTGGAGATTTCACCCTTGAAGATGAAGATCGAACCGGACGTCCAGTTGAGTTTGATGAAAAGCTTCTTGAAGCAGCCCTTGAAGAAAATCCTGCTTTATCAGTTGAGGAATTGGCAGTGGTTCTCAGTTCAAACCATACAACTGTTCATCGTCATCTTCAACAACTTGGAAAAGTTCCTAAACTTGGAAAATGGGTGCTTCATGAATTGTCTGAAAACAACCTCAAATCCCGAGTTGACATCTGCTCTTCTCTCCATTCTCGCCAACTTGTTTCACCTTTTTTGGATAGACTTGTGACTGGCGACGAAAAATGGATCTTTTATCGAAATGTTAAGCGTCGTAGACAGTGGCTTGGTAAAGGGGAAGGACCCCAGCCACAGCCGAGAAGGGAACTTCATGGGCAAAAGGTTTTTCTTTCAATCTGGTGGGATCGCCAAGGAATAATCCACTTTGAATTCTTACCACCTAATGCAACAATTAATGCTCAAATATACTGTCAGCAATTAGAGCTTTTGAACCAAGCTTTGAGGAAAAAAAGACCTGCTCTAGTGAATCGAAAAGAGGTGATGTTTCATCAGGACAATGCGCAACCCCACCCAGCAAGAATCACGTCACAAAAGATCGAAGAACTTGGTTGGGAGAAAATTCCTCATCCACCTTAGTCTCCAGATCTTGCTCCTTCAGACTACCATTTGTTTCGTAGCTTACAGAATCATTTGGAAGAAACAGCTTTTGTAACACAGGAAGAGGTTAAAACTGACATTTGTGAGTTCTTCGAATCAAAGCCAAAAAGAATTTTACAGTAATGGAATTAGTAAGCTTGTTAATAGATGGAAGGAAGTCATAGATAATCAGGAAAATACATTGTTGATTGAATCTGTAATTAAATCAAATTTGGTCACTTGTTTTCTTTATTCAAAATTCAGACAGAACATGGGATGACCTGATATAAGTGGTATTGGGTCATGAAAATACTTTATTATATGATAACTTAAACATATAATAAAAACTGAAAACTTCCCCTGCTTAGAAATTATGATAAGCCTAAATGTGATGTTCATAAAAACTGTTTAAATGACCTGTTTTAAAAGTCATCACTGCTCTTAATTTATTTTCTATATTCTTCTGATGTAAAACATTCTTCTCTTACATGATGGCTCTCCACAATTTCAACTTTTTGTTAAAAAAATAAGCTTTAGTTTTTTCAAACTCCCTTTTCTGCCAATGAATAAAGCTTGTTAGGTAGATTTTTTTGAATTCTTAGATTTTATCCTCTTGCCTGGAAATATATTTTGTGTCAAATTTTTCAGACTTTATCCATTAATCCTTATTATGTATCCTCTAAATTTCATCTACCTCTTTCTAATAATAAGTATAATGTTCAGTCCATAGTATTCTTAGCATCATTCTGTAGAACCACATTTCTGTTGCTTCAAGTCTTTTCTTCATCTAAAACCGGTTCCAGCATGATCACTGAAGTTAAGCAACATTGAGCCCAGTCAATAACTAGATTGGTGACCCCTGGGGAATACCTGGTGCTATAAGTTTGGATGTGCAGGTGGTGTAATAGATAATGACTTGGAATTGTTAAGTTTCAATTCCAGTTGGGTTCATTATATTCACTTACCCTTGGTATGAATCCACCTCTTCTCCCCCCACAACTATGGGTTAATTAGTAAGACTTGAATCACTAAATCATTATTATCTCAAAAAAAATTCTTACAATTTAAAAATATTTTGTCTTTAAATAACCTGCAAATGGTTCATAAGCCATAGAAAACAAAACAATCTGTGAAAAGATTGTCCAGCATTCACTGCCATATATGAGGAAAAGTTCTGTTTTTTATTAATTTGCTTAGATTTTGGAAGGTATCTTTTGCTATTCCAATGCACCTTTGGATTTCAGTGTTACATTCTCCATCTAAATTTTTGTACTTGCTTGATTTTGATGTTTTCATTTTGTAGTTCACATCTTGAGCTGTTTCTTTTGCTAGCAATCATACATTCTATCTAATTGATGTTTAGTCCTTTCTTTTTGCTTTCCTCTACTACTGTAGGAATTCCTGTAGTTTCCTTTCTATGTCTGCTATCAACACTGTGTCACCATGCTTATGTTGTTAAAACTGTGGCCACCAATAATGAATCCTGGTATGACTTAATTTTTTAAAGATTCAGTATTTTTTTTGTTGTATTTATTGAATTTATTTTCTATCTGCATCCAGGCTGTTTTCTTCCAGTTCTTGATTATTTAAATATCTTTCCCAAATAAATCAAGCTTACCTAGAGTTCAAATAATTCTTTGTCTCATACCTTGTAAAAAAACTTTTGCATAATCCATAAAACAGTTATACACCCTTCTGCATTTGTATTACTCTTTCTAATATAATTCTGATCATGAATATCACATTCCTTGTTTCAGAGTCTTTAATGAAAATACACTGTTCCTGTCCTATTTCCTGTCTAATTCTGCTGCACACTCTATTCATCAGAATTCAGTTAGCAGATCTCATTATGTGGCTCATTAAGCTGATTGTTCAGTGGAGCTCACATTCATTTGCACCTGGTTTTTTACACAATGCTATGAAAATGAATTTACTAAGGTTTTCCACTAATCACCACTGTTATAAACTTGGTTTATTATTTCTGTAATTTTGTCAATGCCAAAATCATCTTAGAATGCCAACAACTCTATTACAATTCAATCTGGTCTTACTGCTTTGTTCCTGTTCAACTTGCCAGTACTGATTTCATTTCAGATTTTAATATTTCTGGTCCTTCCATATTTTTATGTATTGCAGGTTTCCCTCTTTCATTGTGGAATTTTTTCAACAACATATTTGTCCTATCTTTGAAATATTTTTTCGTTCTCTATTGTCAACATTTTCTTTTTGATTTTTTGCATCTTATTTTATGCACAATTTTATGCATATTTTAATCACTTAAAAAAAATGGCAAGTCATCTTCAAATCTGAATAGTGTTTATTTGATTTTTCTTCTATCACTTTACTTTAAATTAAAAGAAAAAATTGTTTTTGAAATTTTCCTTTTTTTTTTAAGTTATTTAGTCAGTCAGTTATGTGCCATGTGTGGTACATGCTTAGGCAATCATGTATCTTTCAATACATGACTTATGAGGCAGATTTTTTCCCACAGTAGGTGGCCATTTCTTTCCACAGTAGACCTTTTTGCCATCCAAGGCTATAGAACCTGGTCTTTCCTGCTATTTACCTATAGGTGGGGGAAGAAGAAGAGGATTCATACCTTTCCCAAGGGTATTAGCATGACTGGAATTTAAATTCCTCAACCGAAGCCGCTATCCATTACTCCACAAGGAACCATTTCATTAGCTCACATCTGATTTCATGGAAAGACTGGGTACAGGACTGACTGTATCTTCTTTTCTTTCACTCCTTGTTTTCATGGTTAAAACCATCTAATTCTGACATATAAATAAATCATATGGTCAGATTATGTGCTTTACTCTTATTTAACCATGGATAACATATATGCATTTTGAGTATACTACTATGATCTGTGATCAAGGTATCCTACTGAAGATATTGCAATATATCAAAGAGTGATTTATGTTAGCAAAACAAATTTGTCAGAATGCACAATAATATTCTTATGACTCAAGATACAACTCAAGCAAACAACATTGAGAATTCAAGACAATATGAATTAAATAAGTTAGTGTGATTGATTGTCTGCTATAACTGCCATATCCTTAATTTCTAACAACTTCTGTAAGAATGGAAATATCATTCTTTACAGTAAATATTCTTCTTTATCTCTGCATTTGTGTGATACCAGTTTTCTTGGTATTTGATTTTAGGTTCCTTGGAAAACTCTACTGCCCCTCCAATAACTGTAGTTAAATCAATTAAAATTAAAGATAAAACTAAAACTGCTGGTAAGTACATTTTCAAAATATCTATTTTTCATTATAATTTTCTTTTCATGATTTTTCACTTTTTGAGTTCAAATTTAAATTTAGTAAATAACTCTTCAAAAGGAATATAATTTTCATGTGTTAACTTGAAAACTAAGTTTTATTCTTTAAAATTTCATTGTTTTTTATATTTATATTTTGTATCTACAAATATTAGTGAAATTTGTTACTTAAAAAAAAATTACATCCACCTTTCTAAAGTATCAGAAGGAATAAGGATGAAGAACAAACAGGACCTTTATATATAATTTTCTTTCAGAAAGTAACACTCCCAATTAGTGCAAGCAGTATTTATTTAACAGTAACTCACAAAACTATAAATATACAATGTTATTACAAAACTAACAGGTTACTAAATAGATACCTTAGAAGATCCATGAAAACCAAAATAAATTATATAAATATAATTAAAATATGTACAACCATATATGTCAGAAGAAAAACTGCTTATTACACTGAGAGAAAAAAGAGGTTCCCAAAAGAGGTTACTGTTTATTTACAAGACATTATATCAAAATGACTAGAATCATTAAAATATTTGGTGTGATCATAATTACCTTTGAGATTCAAATAAATGAACTGGATGATTATTCATTTTTAGAGAGAAATCTGCCCAACCTTATTCCAACAACACCTTTTATTAAATAGCAGGCTGAATTGCCCACACCTTTCTACATGTCACACATTTTTTGTAAGAAAATAATTGATTTTAAATCATTGTTATATTTTGTTGAGAAAAATGATGCATTTCAATATTACTCAGTGATCTTGTCATTTTGACCTCCATCTTCTGACTTTCTCTTTCTATATTTTACATAGGACTCATTCCCTTGTTCAAATTTAAATTTAATTTAAATCAAAGAGAAACAAATTTTCAGGGGGTGGGGTGCTCCCTGGGGACCCCCTTTGTTCAAAATGAAATATACTTATCCAAGTACCCTGGATAATGTAGGTCAGAATATATATGGTTATGGGGGTCTATCTCCAAAACACTAGGAAGAGTTCAATAACAAACAGACAGACAGATATAGATTCAGCAAATTTCCTCCTATTCCTTAATTCAGTCTGAAATCATCCTAGAACAAAGCATTTAATTACTGAAAATTATAAAAATTCAGATATCCTTTTTATTCAATTCACTGCATCTGATTGAAAATTAAATGTAGTTCATAATTGGATATCCATTTTATATTGTATTGCTCCTCCTACCTTGACCAATATTATAAATTGCTATAACAGAATTGAAATTCCATTTTTTTAATTTATGCAAATTTCAATGAAAGCATTAATAAAAATCATGTTTCATTGCAATAACGGTAAAATATTGTACACTGAAAAATTAATTTATATTACCTAATAAAAACTGAATTTTTTAAGTTAATTTGATATATTTTCTTTGGTTAATTTGTTTTTTCTTTCTTCATTTTAATTTTCTTTAGCCAAGAGACTATTTTTCAATTATACTATTATTTTATTTTAGTGATTGGTGTTACCATGAACCATAGCCGAATTATGGAAGAAATGTTGGCAGCAACAGATTCAGGAAATGTTTACCATTGCCGTGATAGTGAAAATTTAGTATGCTTTCTGTTAGATGATGGAGCCTTTGTCATATCAACTAATCAAGATGATAAATTGGGTGGAGTAAGTATTTGAAATCACATTCCAACATTACTTGAGAATAAGTTTCAATTGTCACTAAAAATAATCCTGTTACTTCTGCTATTGTTGCATAAGAGGAGTTAAAAATAGCTAAAACCTCCAGATGATTTGACAAGTCAAAATCTATGTAATCAAATGAGCACATGCATATTTGTCTCAATAATACTTTCACACACACACATTCAATGAAAAATTAAACAAAGGATATTTTAACACATGCAAAAGGCATAAATTCAGTTTTGTATTGCAAAAAAATATGCTGTTTCTGATAACTTATTTTTTAATTTATTGGAAATTAATTTTTATTTCATGTAAACTAATTTTCTCATCTGTTCTTTTTTAAATAAAGAACATACACTTCCTCTCCTTGACATGTCACATCCAATGCAAATGCAGATTAGAATTTTCCAATATCCATCAAGTCTTGACACAACTATACAAAATGTCAAGATGTTGAATCATTACATGTAATGCAACAGAAACCAGAAAAAGAACTGGCATGCAAACGTTTCGAACCAACTACATAAAATTATTATATACCTTTGCTTTATTAAGAAGTCAAGATTGTTTATCAATATGCTTTTATCAGTAATGTCTATTAACCTTGAGGATTTGAAAAAAAAAAGATTTTGTAACGTTTTTGTAGATATAGTGCTTTAAACAGCTTGAAGCTGAAAAGGGGCCATGCAAAACTATTGGGGCAATGAAAGATTTGTGATGATAAAGTCATAATATGAAAACTTAGTAGGAATTGTTTCACCTTATTAACCTGAGTGTAAGGTGTAATTGTTTCAGTAGAAATTTTAGCCTTGATTTTTTAGTGTAAAAAAATGGAAGCTAATGAAAGATTGTGAATTGAAAGGGAAGATGACAATGAGAGATAACAAGGCAATTGGGAATTTTCAGAAACTGTTCAAATCATCAAAAAGACATCTGCTACTATTGGAAGTGTTTTAAGTGGAAAAAAAACTGGAAAACCACAAAAGTTAAACAAGAGAGATGAAAGAAAGATTGAGTGTCTGAGTAAACAGCCAGACAAGTGAGGAGTGAATGCAGTCTTAACAGTGAATATAGATTACATAAATAATCAATAACTTTGAAAAAGTTAAAAAAATTGGATAGACAGAAGTTGTTTATGTTATTCAACAAAACCTGTTTTGAATATATATATGAGGTGAGCACTGACTCTAATTTTATATATTATGAAAATAGCATAACATGTCATTATGAATTATTTTAAATTTTTACACTAAAAAATAAAATGAAAGAAATTATTAGAGTAAAAATTATAAATTCATAATATTTCTATTAGATTTTAGGAGGAAAATGATTATGCTTTCCAAAATTTGCATTCGTTCTAGCCAAATCATTCTCTATAAAATCATAAGAGTCTTAATTTTATATTTTTAAAATGATGTATTTATTATTTTATTCCCACTAATGTAATCTCTATCTTAGTATCATCATGGCTAAAATACTTTAATGATATAAAACATTATCATTTTATATATTTATCAGTCATGCAACCTGATCTCATCTACATAATATTTCATTGTTATAGTAACAGTTAAAGCAGTTAATGCTTTGTGTTACCATAACTATTTATAGTTATGTTAATACATTGCTTTTTATTTCTTTTTCTTTGTGTTAGCATTCTTTAGGTTTTATATAACTTTCATTTATTTAAACAATTCTAAAAATTAAAGAACCACAGTAAATATGTCATTTGTTTTCTAAAAAAACATCATCTTATAAAAATTCAAATATATGTATTTTTTTAATGACTAGATTGACTTAATTTCTCTTGCTTTCACTTCTTCTTTCCTCTTTCACTATAGTTTTCTTTGTGTCAATCTTTTCCATTTTCTTTCACACTTCTTCAGTCTTTCTCAATTCTTTCTCATATTTTCTCCTTTTACTTGAGTGATTTGAAAAGATTTCATTCAACTAAAGTAAAAGAAATCATTACTTTCAGAACAATCATTATATTTTTTAATAACCCATACTCTTTCCTAACTCACTCAATTATTTTTTCTCACTTAGGTTGGACAGTTTCTGGGGAATGTTGATCGAGGCTTAATGTTTGGTCTACTAAACAACTCAGTCTACATGAAGTAAGATTTTTGCTATATATCAAGAGATTATTGTTTTTTAATTGTTTATTCAATCAATTATTCTGTGCTTATATTTTTAAAAATGTATTTATCTCTTACTTTGATGTTTTATATTGTAAAAATCTTGTAAAATCTCTTAAACATATATTTCTTTTTATCCTCTGTTATTTTGTAAAATATAATCTTAGATTAGAGAACATTTTAACAGATGTAGATGTTGAACATTTTAAAAATCAGGAGATTTATATAAACACATACAATATGAGAGATATTTTTATATTAATAAATTTCTTCATTTCATATATATAAAAGTATAAGAAATTGCTTCTCTGGAAATTCATGTCAATTCTTTCTTCCTAATGCATCATTGTCATCCAGTGAAGATTCTTCACTTCTGGATCACTATCCTGGTCGATACAGCACTAATTATAACCCAATTAGCAGGAAGAAGTCATGAGGAATTTGAGAAGAAGTCTACCCACCCATAATTGTGATTACTGAACTGAACAGACCTCAAAATAAATCACTAGTTATGTGAGTAGAAACTAATGTAACTAGTGATTTATTTTTCTTCTTCATTGTGGAGTTTATTGAAGCACTTCAAATCCCTCTCTATAAGCTGTCTGCTTATCAAGATACTCAACCTCATGTGTTTATTTTCTTTATGATCTGGATTGACATTCTTAATTGAGTAATAATGGCCTGGCATTGCAACCTGTTATAATATCATCTCCAGGTAAATAATTTATTAGAAGATAATTTGTTATAATATCATCATAACACCTGATTACTCCCTAGATATGCAAAATAAAGCAGTCTGGCAAAGTTGATGGCTGGTTAAAAGTGGGAAGTAATCTAATCAGAGGACTCAACCAACAGTGATTTAGACTTACCTCTGGGCTAGAAGAACTACTCTGTTTCTCGCCAACTCTGACTGAAACTGGTGGTTCCCTGGATTTATGGGAACATATTTCTTTCCGATGTCAAGTTGCACAATCAGTTTGCCTATGTGTATAACAATAACAATAGAGGAAGTCACATACCAAAGTGGGCTTGACCACCTAGATGATCAAGGCAGAATTGAGGGATAGTATTGAAAAATAATGTAATTTGTTTACTGGATTTTTCTTCCTAGCATGGTCATCTGGTTTAGTTCAACTGTCATTTTTCCAGTGGTGAATTGGAGTGCTTGTCAGTGCTTCTTGTTTTATATAATGTTAATCACTTAAACAAGTTAAAATCTTGTTATGTTGTGAGTTCATATGCAGAAAATATTAAGTGCTAATTCAATTTATTCTAATTAAATGCTTTTGTAATTAATTTTTATAATTTTATCCTTTACTATATACATAAATTCTAATTCATGCCAATTTTCCTTCCCATCTTAGATATTTTAAATAAAAAGTATTTCATCAACATCCCTTGTGCTTTTCATATTTTCTTCATAATTTTAAAAATATCAGCTGATTCCATTGATTTATAATTTAAATTTAATTTGTCATGTTAAATGTTTATAATGTAAAATTATGAGGGAGCACTAAAATACATGAAAACACTGAGAAATAATCAAATCTCAATCAAATTACCACTTTATGATGCAAAAAGATTAGGCATCTGGCGTGTATTAATGACTTGATTTTATTATTTCATCCTTTTAGGCATGAAATTTCAGATTATCAAGCAGTTTGCCAAAGAGAAGCCAAAAAATCAACAGGAGGCTTAAGAAATATAAGAGTGGTAAGTCTTTTCTTTTCTTAATATGTAGGAATGCTTTTTTATATGTAATTATTTCATGAAATGTATACCAAATGTATACCAAATAATTTTAATAAAATCTAAAAAAAAACTTTTTTTGATAAAGATTTTGTAGCTTTTTATTTTAATTTCTCCCACTCAACAAGAATACCAGATTTAACATAAAAAGAATATTATAAATTTATAAATGCAGTGTGGTATTATTATTTATAAGTCAAAGTCTACCTCAAAAATTGTTTAAGATATTACAAATATTTCTTAGACCAAGTTATCAGTCAGAACTGATTGAGAGATACTGTTCTCACACTGTAACATACACTACCCTACTAACAGTTACTGCTCTTGTCTTCTTCCTCCTCCTAGGTGTGAGCAATCATGACTCCCAACAACTTCCTCCTTTTTATCTGTAAACTGTATATTGATTGTTCTTGAGGAAGTAGTGATATCCTATTGCCTTCTCTATGGTTTTGAATTCAGAATTTTTCTTCTTTTGTACTGATTGCCAACTAAGAATAGAAGTATAATCTGTCCTATTATTTAACCCATAGCTGAGTTGGGAACACAAACTTTTTCAGCTTTATTTTGAATCTGGCTTGCCAATTTCATTTTTTGTGCTATTGGCACTGCACCCTTTTCCAAAAATGAATGTCTTTTAATCAAATGACCAATGACATATATAATTATTAATACATTAATCTGCACATTTTTCTCCATATAAAATAAACATTTAATAATTGTTCTTTCACATACAGATTACCTAGTGAAGTTCAGTTATTTAAATAATGACAATTTTAAAAAAATTAATTTTGATTATAGTTGATTGAATCCATTGTAATCCCATAAAAATTACTACAATTTTCATTTCATTTCATAGCATCCTTTATGCCAAGTCATATTAAAACTCATGCTCAGAACTAGAGGTCTAACTCAAATCTCATTGTTCCACTGGGAGTGATGATTTGTAGTTTTGGTTTGCAGTAGTTGTAGTTGGCTTAAGAAATTTTTTGCTTTTTACATTTTGAATAACTAACATATTTAATTGAAGTAAGTATAAGATTTATTTGTTGTATTTCATTCAAACTTGCTATATTATTTTATGTTTTCATTGGAAAAACAATCAGTTTTGTACAAAATTCAATAAAAAATGTAATTTAGAAAACTTGGTCACGTGGAAGTTAACATTTTTTACTTAAAGTTAATTTAATATTCTTCTCTATGAAATTTTTATTCATAAAAGCAAATACACTAATTATGTTCTTATTCTCTACTTTTTCTATGAGTTTCTTAAGCCAATTAGAGCAGCAAACTACTGCAAAACCCAAAATGAAACTAAACAATGAAATTTGAGATAGGCCTCAAGTTCTAGGTGTGAGTGGCACTGTGACTTAGGTGAAGAACACCATGCATCAAATTTTTTAAAATATTGAAGATATTGTATTCTTTTAAAAAAATTAATGATTTCTTTCTAATTTCAGCCTTCAGTGAATTTGATTTATGATATATTAAGTTTGAAGTGGTGGGTTAATAAAGTCGCATGGTAAGTTTAAAATGTAAAATTTTCATTCATCCTAGATTTTGTCCATTGTTAAAAATTGATCATATGCATAGTCACAATGTTCATAATACCATAACATCAGTATGTTAATAAATGCCACATGAACTACTGAATTAAGGCATATGCTAGATTTATTTTTTTTATTGATGTTAGATCTAGATTGATGCCAAGAAACCATGCAGATCTCTCCAAGATAGCCTTCTTGGTGTCCTTGACTGATTCCCATTCACCCAGCACTATAGATGCATATTTTACAAATGCAGTCTTGCAATAGCTTCTCTACTGTAAAGATTATTTGTACATGGTTAAGAAGACAATTTCTTAAAACATAGCATGTATATCAAACTTTGATGGGCCAATAAACATATCTGCCAGGGTTAATGGTTACATCATAAAATGTCATAAGAATGTTCCTATCCTTATGCTTTAGCACATGCTTTCATTTTTCTTCATCTCTTCCTTGACATATTTTTCTTTATTTGATTATTATATCTTTCTGTACTTATCAATTTCCCTTACATGAACCTTTAATTTTTTATCTCATTTTCCTTTATTATCATATTAATATTTTTGTTATTATTATCATCATTATTATTATTATTTCCTTTATAACACAGGCTAAACATGGCAGATCAATTTACAATGTAAATATAATGATAAACTGGACCTCTATTTTGTATTTGTTGAACCAAATCATTTTGTCATTTTGCTTAACAATATAAGTAATTTACTATATAAAAACTTTGAAATAAAAAAATATTTTCTTGGTTTACATTTGTAGTATAAGTAATGGCTACCAGGAGGCTGTAAATGTTAATTTCTCAACTATGTCTATTAACTTATAAATCCTAACAAAACATATGCCTGTGTTTATTGATGCAAGTTGAACAGATAACTTTATAAAGTCATACTTACTGAAATGTCTGCCTGTTAAATTCTTTCATTACAAATCATAAAAACTATTGTTTCATCACAGCAAAGAATTATTATTATTCCTTTGTTTCTTTTTTATTTTCAGGTCATACTTCAGTTTTAACATTTACAAGTAAGTTTTCTCTAATTAAAGGAGATATTAAATTACAATTTTGCAAATTAATCATATAATCTTTATCAAATTGAGACATGATTTTTTTTCCTAAAAAATCTGTTTTCTGCACAAAACAATTCTACACCAATAAAAACAACTGAGGGATTGACTGAGATACAAAAAATTTAAATATTTTAATTTTCTTCTATAGTTCAGTTCGGTAACTTACAATTCACAGCTACTCCAGTTTATCAGTTCAATTTCTGTAGTCATTAACTTCTTTATTGTTGAATGAGTTCAAAAATATAGGGTTAAAAAGATATATTTAGACAAGAATTAAAATTATTTTTGTGTTTGCATGGTGGCATCAAGATATTATAAAAAAATTCTAACACTTTATAATCACAAATGAATTGTTGGTCTTTGACAGTACCAGGTACAATTGCATTCAGTCTCTGCCCAACTCTCCTTTGATGTCAACCATAGATTAGTCAGATATATCAAGATTAAAGTGGGAGTGACACCATTGCATCTGACTACAAGAGGAACACGAGCCATAAAGTCAATAAAAAATAACCATTCCCTATTAAGTATACATCACAGAAAAATCAATGACCAAGCAAAAAGGGAAATAGAACTGAATGAATGAATAATTTGTATAATTAATAAAAAAGTAAAAGTAAACAAAGTAGTACAACAATTGAAGCTGGCTTGCCATGTCTCTTTGCTGAATGTTTAACAAGTGCAATGATTGAACTTAAAATCCTGTATTCAACCATTGACCAGCTGCTAAACCTGTCGATATCTTTGGGACAATCCCTCTGACTTGCAAAGAATGCCCTCAACTAAACCATGATGACACACACATATCATCCAATTCATTTTAGCAAACTTGCTTCTAGCAGTTAAGCTTTTTCAACCAGTCATGAGAGCATGAGTACGCCATTCATAACCCAGTGTTGCAGACCCGGCAGCGTGCAGTGCTGGTTTATTACTAAGTGGCCTTGTGCCAGACACCACACTAAACTACCGAGTCTACAAGCAAAGTAAAAAGATAAATGTGTGCGTGAATGAACAGTGAGAGGAAAGGGGTCAATCAACAAGTGCATAAAATAAAATATATTAAGATAGCCGGAATAAAAATGACAAAGACATCTGTTTATAAAACATGAGTAAACTTTAATCAAACAGTAACAAGTAACTCATCCCAAGGTCGGGATCAATGAAAAATGTTCCGCGCCAAAATAGAAATACAAGATGGCCAAAGGCGGGAAAAGAAAGTTTTATACAGTTCCGGAAAAAGAATGTGCGCACAGATAGAAAGGAGTACTCACTGTGGATATTTTAAGTTGTAAGTGATTATGCATATTTTTAATGTACAGGTTCAAAGTTATAAAGAATGACCGGTCGTCTCAGAGTTTTTTTTTTTGGTGAAACATTGAATTGGCCGCTGGTAAATGTTCTGGACTGCTGTGGGCATCTAGCCGGGAGAAACGAAGCATGGTCTTGTAGAATGGTTCTGGCGAGAGCCCAAAGAGAAAGACGAAAAAATGTTTTTGTTCAAAGGTAATATTGAATTGGCGCTGGTAAATGTTCTGGACTGCTGTGGGCATCTAGCCGGGAGAAAACGAAGCATGGTCTTGTAGAATGGTTTCTGGCGAGCCCAAAGAGAAAGACGAAAAATGTTTTTTTGTTCAAAGGTAATATTGAATTGGCCGCTGGTAAATGTTCTGGACTGCTGTGGGCATCTAGCCGGGAGAAACGAAGCATGGTCTTGTAGAATGATTCTGACCTGAGCCCAAAGAGAAAAGCGAAAATGTTTTGTTCAAAGGTAGTATTGAATTGGCCGCTGGTAAATGTTCTGGACTGCTGTGGGCATCTAGCCGGGAGAAACGAAGCATGGTCTTGTAGAACGGTTTACTGGCCGAGCCCAAAGAGAAAAGACGAAAAAATGTTTTTGTTCAGAGGTAATACTATCCCTGCCTGTATTATTTGGTTCGAAGCCAGGGGTGAAGTTTAAGTCACCTGTTGAAACGAAGTTTCTGCCGACGACAGTGTCGTGTGTCTCTAAAACGTCTTCTGGTAGAAAACGGAGAAAAAGGTCCTGACCTGTGATTAGCAATTTGTTCGTTCAGTAGGATATCCCTGCCTATACTTATTAGGCCCCTGACGAGGGATAAAAATCGCCATTAGTTGAATACGAACTTTTTGCTCACGACAGTGTCGTGTGTCTCTAAAAACGTCTTCTGGTAGAAAACGGAGAAAAAGGTCCGACCTGTTGGCAGCTTCAAAAGGAGGAAAAAGTCTTGGTAGGGGTGCAGTCGACATTGTTGAAAAAATAAGATATTCCGGCCCGCGTATGGGTTAAGTGCACGGAATAAATGAGTTGCCCATCCAGTCGGTTGAAAGCTAAGAGGCAACTGGATTGCAAACGTTAGCAGTTTTGAAACGCCGAAAAACAGCAGGGAAAAATTCAAAAGTCTAATTTGCATAAGTAGAAGTAGCAGCTCGTCTTGACTGCTGACCAAAAACAGTTACTACTGTATTAGACTAAAAAGAGACAGAAAAGGGGTGTCAAACGCGCGCACACACGCACGAGTGTAAAACAAAGGGAGGAAACTTCGCGCGCGTAAAAAATATAAATGGAATTAAATGTTAATTCCATACCAGCATGGAACTATCATGTGCTGAATTGTTTTGTGTGAAATTGTCAGATACTATTTTCAAACCTTTTTGATTTCTGAAGAATAATACTTGGTAACTAAAGTTTTTAAAAGATTATTTGGCAAATAGTATCTTAATAAAAATGTTCTTTATTATGAATAATAATGAATAATTCTTATTAGCTGAATAAAAATACATTTGTACAAAAAATATGTAAATCAAGTTCAAAGTAATGTTAATTTTCTTGCCTTTAAAGACAAACTGAAGAATTTGTATTTGTATTGATTAGAAATTTTAAATATCAATTATATTGTCTCCATAATTAATGAGAATATTTTTCAAATCACTTCTCTTATTTACTTTCAGTTGGTTATTTGCCAAACCAACAGATTTTGGTAAGTAATATCTGCTAATTTTCATGTAAACTCAGTGAATAAACAAATAATTACTGCAAAGTTAATGTTAAGCAAGAAATGCAAAATTTGCAAGCAACTCAATCATATTTTTCTTAACATTGCCATGTTCTTAATTCAATAATTAAAACTTTGTAACAAATTATTTTATTATAAACATGTAATATAATTAAATAGAATGTTTTGCAGCTTTTAATATTTACAAATTAAATATTTAAACATTTTGGACCTGAAAGAATTGTGATACAGTTCCCACCTCCTCTAGAATTTTAGAAACTAGTGTTGGCAACCATATGGTTAGGTTAAGTAATTAATGGGGCAGATTTAAAAAAAAAATTTTTTCAATATTCAAATTTGAGAATTGTAACTTCTTCTTTGTGCCATGTCCCTTCAGGATGCAGGCGATCATGGCTCTCCACAATGTCTGTTCTTTGTAGCTCTTAATAATGTTTGTGTTTTTTGCCATCTGTCCTAGACCCTACTCTGCCATCCATTCATTCAAATGCACTAGGTAGATTTTGCATTACTTTCCTCTGTCTCTCTTACCTTTAATCTGTCCTGTGAGTATCAAATTTTCCAAGCACTCTTTTCTTCCTATGCACCCCAGAAATATCAACTGTTTCTTCCTGATATTAAGTATAAGTGTCCTTTTTTGTCATTGTCTCTAGAACTTCATCCTTGCTCACATACTTGGTCCATGGTATTCTCAGAATCCTTCTGTAGAAATACATTTCTATTGAAGATTTATTAAAATGTTACTGTTATGATAAGTATTCTCTCTGAAAAATGTAGTCTTGTCAAGGGAAGGTAACTCTCCCATAGGTATAGTGATACTGCCTTTTATACAGTACATAATTTACATATCACTATACCTCTCTGAACCTAAAAGGCTTTATACCTTTAGTTGATCTTTGACATTTACGAACAACCCTGGGAGACATAATCTGTCTTTTGGTTTCTTTTTATAGGAGATTTTGGCCTTAACTGATTCTCCTCATTTAAATCATCATGATACCGCCGGTCACTCTCATCCCCAGATTGTTCCTCACTACTACTAGATACACTCATTCTCTCCTCCTGTTCTTCACTTTCATATCTCTGGTAGTCTTTCTGATCACTCTCAGTACTGGATTCATTCATCCTTTCTTGTATCGTCTCTTCTTCTGCTTCATCTTCCTCCTCCTTTTCCATAACTTCATGTTCTCTTGTGGTTCTAAATTGGTCTTCATGAGCCAGTATGCCCTGTCCCTTCTTTGTTAACACAGCTGTGTTAAATCCCTTTTGCACCATAAAATTCACCTTTTCAGGACTTGAATCCTTGTACTTTCTGTACCACACACTCATTCAGTGCAAATGACTGTGTTGGAATGTGTCCCGAAAAAATAAATGATTTCATCTCTTTCTCTCCTGCTGTCATAGCGACAGACACAGTCTCCACTTCTGAGACTGAAAACTACCCTCCTTCTCATTCCAGCCCTTTACATAGAGCTTGGTAACTCACCTATGCAAAACACTAACAAGCCAGCTACCAATCACAGTTCCCGCACCTGCCCGCCTCCACTCGCTTTGGGGGTTTCAAGTTGACTGACCAACTCATTACACCCCCACCCCCCCCGATCTTAAGATCACAAAGCTTCTTGGTTCAAGAGATGGTCGCGTCTGTCTGGTGACTGCGTCCACATATATACAACTTGCACGCTTGACATATTGGGATAACCACACATGTGCAAACTCATTTGCTCCGAGGTTGCAGATTTCCAGATTCATCCCATGTCTCACTGTCATGATCACACACTGTATGCCTTCGGGGCAGGCCTCTTCTGCCGGGCACTCCTTCTGAGCGGGATGACAGGGTCCTCATCTCCAGATGAACTCTCATCCGTTGAGCTACCATCCGCCTCTGGACAGCTGGCCACGTTGACGTCCGCAGGTAGAGTAACTGATGTTTGAGGTAGAACTCAGTGGATCCGACTTTAAATACACCACTTCGCACCATCTTCAGAGTCATTTTTCATCATCTGATGACGGTTTAACCCCTACAACTGGCGCAAGTCTTTAACATGACGCCGAGCACTGTAGGCGATAATTCTAAGCTTGTCCATTACACTTGCTGTGGGGTCTTAACCCACACCACGTCACCAATTCTGTATTTAGCTTGTGCATCGCTTCGAAGCCATTGCAATGTCAATGCCTCTCAGCCGTAAGTGGTAGGCATGCACCATGTTAGCGGTGCTGTTGTAGGCGAAACACCGTCTTTAGGCGTCGCATTATACCAATAGACTGCTTGGGGATGAACATCGCTTCCTGGCTGCAATCACTTTTATAGACCGGTGGCTCCTTTCTACTATGCCATTTCCGCCAGCACGTGGCGCACTGGAACGAACCGCACACCCCACTTCTTTAAGGACTGCGAGAATTGCTCTGAAGACAACACCGCACCATTATCTGTCAATATTTCTGCAGGTGGTCCCCCGGTCGTAAAAGATGGACTCAATTGACATATTATGCTGGCAGTGTCCTGCCGGTGCAGTAGTCGCCAAATGGCAAAAGCGAGAGTGTCCACAGTCAATAATAGTCAAATAGTGCTGGCTGCCAACATGCATAACATCTATCCCCAGCCTGTTCCAAACATGGGTAGTACTGAAATTTCCTTTTTGCCATTGCACGGTGCGGGTCAATTGACTGGCACGCCTCACCTCTGCACTACTGTCCTAACATCCGTCTTTTTGACTGCGGGTCGACCATTTTTCAAAGAAGTAGAGCGTCCGTTTAATCCCAGGATGCCCACACTATTCATGTATGCTCATGATCCGCTCGAGGTCCATACTGAGCGCAGAAGCTGTACACAGCAGCTGCAGAGGTTCAGACTCTTTCCAGGCAGCAGCCAACCAGCGTTGCAGAATGAGAGTCAACGCATCTGCCCTGTTGACTGCCGATTTAACTAACACTACATCCACAGACAGGTTGTACTCTTTGATAATTTCAATCAGCGTGGTGAGCGCCTTCATATCAACAGAATCTCGATGCCTTGGTGGTCGGTCGGCTCTTCGCTAAAGTGCATCTGATATCAATGCTGAGTGCATGACAATGTGTATTCACTGTTGATTGCCATTGGAGGCGCCAGGTTAATCCTTATTCTTTTGCACTATTGCCATGACAGTCTGAAAGGGCCAGAATGATGGGGTGGACTCGGACTTGGAGGTAGGCCCTTCTATCTTCGAGGTGCCACATTGCTCCCTTGCTGTATCATTCCTGCAATTTCTGGGCACAACAAAGGAACAACGTATATGCATCTACAAAGGTATTCAATTCCCTTTAGTCCATGACCGGTCTCACTTTCCCCTCGTTGAAGAGGACACGTTTTCATTGGCGTAAACATTGTCAATGTAGGATAGCGTTGTGAATTTCCTCATCCTGCGACATCACCACATTCATAATCGCTGACATGATTTTTTGAAGCAACATTAAGACCAAATCCCAATCGAGTGAGGCAATATCTCTGTCCTTTTACCATGACAGAGATCTAAAGGTCCCTGGTTCAATCCCTGGTTTCGGCACCAGGCAACAATTGATTGAGCATCATGTCTTCCATTCTGGATGATGCGGGTATCTGCTTAACATGACTAGGCAATCCAGACATGAAGGCTGGGTCATCCATTCTTCAGGAAGCGGTGCGATCGATGCGGGCAAGCTTCTTTAATTCCGTAAATATCGTCTACTGTCTCGCCAGGTCATAGACGCTGCGCCTGGAATTGGTCTGGAGGCCACGAACCGGTCAGTTCAAACACGATTAGTAGAGCGGCGCTTTATTTGTTCAATGTCACTTTTCTGTTCTTTGCTCAGCTGCCTATACACAGCAAGGTCGCTGCCTTTCAATCGCAGTGGAAGAATCTGTTCAATCTTTGTGATCTCACATAATTCGCAGACCAGTTCCACCTTTTCGATCCATTCAACCACAGACTGTCCACTTGTATCACCACTGAATTCAAAGATCAGTTTTATGTCGAACGGTCTTTCCGCCAACTTGCTAGAGTCAAAGTAAACGCCGAAATAGCTTGTGTTGGAATGTGTCCCGAAAAAATAAATGATTTCATCTCTTTCTCTCCTGCTGTCGTAGCGACGGACACAGTCTCCACTTCTGAGACTGAAAAACTGACCTCCTTCTCATTCCAGCCCTTTACATAGAGCTTGGTAACTCACCTATGCAAAACACCAACAAGCCAGCTACCAATCACAGTTCCCGCACCTGTCCACCTCCACTCGCTTTGGAGGTTTCAAGTTGACCGACCAACTCATTACAATGACATAGTTATCGGAGCTCTTATTTGTCTTCCCATCAATATGGATGGGTTTGTCTTCTGCCTGCATGTGGAATAGCTCTATAATTTAGGAGTAATCTGGGTAAATATATCTCTGGAGAGAATGATTTTAATCCCATTTTAACCAATTGAACCATTCTCTCCACAATTCCATTTGACTGTGTGTGGTAAGGTGGTGTTTTGTATACATTTTAAACATGCACATAAATTTTCTTCACAAAACTCAGGTATATTGTCAGAGACCAGGGTTTTTGGAACTCTATTCCTTGAAAACACCCGCTTCATAGTAGTGGCTTTTCTATCTATGACTTTATTACCTTCAGGCTAACCTGAATACAAATCAACTAATATCAGAAATAGTTCTATACCTTTAATGTAGGCATGATCCATATGTACTTGTGTTTACTGTTCCATTTCCTTTGACTAAGAGTGAATTTTAGTTTGCCTAAATTTCTTTATTTCTGCATACTTTGGGCATTTTTTTAACATACTCTTCTGTGTCTCTTGAATAGCCTGGACACCATGCTTGCAACTTTAACCTCATTTTGCATAGCCAATATACCTCCATGTATATCATCATGTACAGCTGTAATTACTTATTTTCTCAGAGACTGTGGAGGTACTATGATAGCTCCATTACACATAATTCCTTTTTCTATTGTT